CTGTTTTCTATCTGAAGGATAGAAAACAGTTCTTCTTTTAAACTTTCTTTTAAAGTTTAAAAGAAAAATAACTTAATTTGTAAAAACAAAAAGGTACCTGTGATAATGTTTTCTGCTTTACTTTTTTCTCCTTAGGCCTGACTACTGCTGAAGGCTCCCTGGCAGGCCTGCTCACCTAAAAAGTATTGATTACATTTATATGTTACTGTTTACTCACTTTAAAATTGGCTGACTATTAACTCTAACTATTATTATTAACAATAACTGTAGTACCTGTGGAAGGGTAGAGCGTTCCTGCAGCTGATGGTGTGACTTTCTGGCTCTTTGGGAGTAGTGCTGTGTATATGCAGAAGCTGCTGTAAGTAAGAACATAGCTCCAACGTTAGCCTCCACATTTTGTTGTATGAGAATCATGTTTTTACTAAATTCTAACTGCGTACATACTCAGTTTGTATTCTTCCTTGAATATGGCCGTTGCTCCAGAGTTGGCATAGCCATACACGCTTGGTGACTCTGGAAAATTCTGTCAGGTTGACGGATAAAGTTGAGAAAAAGTTGATATGTAATGAAAACACTAACATGGAAGTTTTTGTACAATGATCAAAAGTAACACAGCCAGCTAGGAGCATTTAGGGGGATCTGCAAGTTACTACACTTTCGGTGACCTTGATTATCAAAATGTTGGGGTCGTCTGTTCACCACGTGATTTAACTACACATCAAGCAACTAAAGTCATTAAGTCATCCTCTACTTTCATAAATTATTTTTTTTTTTGTTATTTTTCATTCTGAAAAAAAGAAAAGCCGGTGGTGGTGGACAAAGCTTAAAGTGCTTCCTGTCACTCATTTATTGGCCTAAAAAGCAAACTCATACCTCCTTCTTTACAGTCGCCTTCTTAGCTGGTTTCCAGTATTCTGTGTCCTCCTCCCACTGATTTTTCCACTTGTACTGCTCTTTTTGGGGGATCCTCACTCCCTTTGGTGTGCATCCCATCTTCCCCTGGTGAATTCTTAAACCCTGGTAAGTCGTAACTTTGTTCCATCCACAGTGACAAACCTGGAGGCTCAGGTTTGAATATTCTGTTGTTTCTGTTTGTCACATAATTCAAGAGTCAAATGAAGATTTTAAATTGTTTTAAGCAAAAATAGAAATTTATAGCAATGAAAATGATTTTTTTTTAACTAATTCCGGTTTGGTTCGCTTTAATCTGCTGATATGGGAGCCCGTTCTCACACCTGAGGCATGATATATACGTCCCACGGCATTCCTGAGGAAAACAAAAGGTGACCTTCCGCATTTTTATGGTAGATGCCAGGTTATGGAGGAAATCCAGGAGAATGACGCTCCCTCAGTAATAGACATTTCAACCATGTATTCCAGCCCTAACCCTAACCTTAACCACGACTTTAATGATGTTAGATAGTGTTAGATAGTAAAATAAAGCTACATGTGTAGATTCATTCCAAACAGTTCTCATGTTTCCTCATTTTTCTCATAATATAGGGATGTGTTGGGTGCCCGGAAGCGTAATATACCGATGATTTGTCACCTAGCGTAAAATGTTACACTTTGGGAGTGAGAACATGTTGGATCAGGTCTTTTCCTATTGGGGTGTTTTTATCAGTTTGAAAGAAAAGTTATAATCTTGAACTCACACAACATAATATTTAAAAAACAAACAAACCTACCAATCTTGAAAGAGGTGTGGACATCTAGCCTGAGGTCCATTTGAGTTTTTGTGTGTCCCACATAGCTCTGTGTGTAATGCTGTGGAGGGTCCGAAACCCTCACACCCTTCGGGGTGCATCCCATCTTCCCCTGGTGAATTCTCAGGCCCTGGTAAGTTGTCACTTTGGACCATCCGCAGGAGTGACAAACCTGGAGCTCCATTTCTGCTGCGTGTCTGCATTAGACACACAACAAAAGACACACAGAGGATGCTGTGTGACTTCCTTTTTGCTCTAAAAATAACTTTGCTGACTACACCGAGCAATTCACAAAACACTATCAAGAACGTAAACTTTCTATGATGGTTATTACAGTGTTCATTTTACCTCAAATGTGAGAACAGTTATTTTAACTTCAGAGTTTTCTTGTGTTCTACGCACAAAAACCATGAAGTGGTCTTTTTCTTTTCAAAATATGCATTAACATCTGGATCATCATATAAACGTTTAAAAACATCCAAGCTACAACAGCTGCAGCGGCTCAGGTAGCGAAAGTGACACGTTTCCCTTTATCCACAGCTGCTGCGGGTCCATCTATTCTACTGTAAGTCGTCACTTCCCTAATATCAGAAAACAAAAATTTTAATTGCTAATATTATTTACCTAACTGGCTTGTGTTGGTTGCAGACCTACTGCATTAAAAGCAGCAGGTTGGCATCAAGAGGCAGCCACTGGGTCGTCTTCCAGGTAACTGTCTGATGATAGACAACAGGAAAGCACCGTAAAACATCAGTTTCATTACTTCCCTTTTCAATTTTGACGTGACTACAGCTAAACCTCTACGTGTGTCTTCTCCAACACCTACTTATAGTTTAAATCTTAGTTTAAATTGACTAAATAATAATAAAAAGTACCATTTTTTAATCAATTATAATTCCTGCTGTACCTTACAAATCAAATTATAGCATCACACCGAAATAAGCTGTGACTTGATGACGTACAGGCTCCTCATTATTTAGGGCACCGTGGATTCCTGATTTTGCTCTCCTCTGTTTTCTATCGTAACAAACAATAGCAAAAATCAGCTGGATAAATCTGCTCTCTGTGTTACTTACAATAAAATCAGGGCGATGGATGCATGTGGTGCCTCTATTGCGCACTCTTCTCTTCCTTTGTCTACCGTTACCTCTGTGCTGATGTGATGTTTGGTATGCTTTGTTTTGTGCTTTTACTTTCGTTTCTGGAAAAAAGAAAAAAAAAGAAGAAAAAAAGCCCGCCAACCGCCCCTGATAGATTTGCCCAGACATGATTCAACTGCATATTTTCACGACACACAAACATGGTCACAGCCATGATGAATAAAAAGGGAGAGACAAAGTTATATTTTCAAACAGGGATTTTATTCATTAACACTTACAACTGTTTGACATTGCCTGACAACACTGAATATCATTCATTTAGCCTGAAATTTGACTACTTTTCTGGAAGCAAGGCAAAATAAGGAAAGGAAAGCAGTTTACATTTTTATGTTGTTTTCAGATGATGCATCGTTCTGTACGCTGAGGCTTTTAGGAAAATCTGAAACTGTAAAAGTGTACATTTGATATTTGTGTGTATTTTTTATGGGACAGTGGTGACACAGCTGAATATGGACCTTGACTCAGTTACAAGAACTGTCTGTGCTCTGCTTTAATTATCTCAAGTTCCAGACTGACCTCAGTCACCACTATCCCATAAAA